GAAGCTATTCACAGAAACGTTCGAAAAGTAATGAATCAGTCCAACATCAATTTGGTAGAAGAGCACACATTTTCAAACGACTTTCAATGGAGATGTGAGTGTGTTTGTGTACCGTGTATTCATTTGATGTTTGTCATTACCTTTTTACGACAAATACATAGAGCGAAAGTGAAACAGTACGGAATTTTAAGCCAAAAGAATGCAAAAATGCGGATACTTCTTTGTATACACAAATACATTCAAACGTTCATTCTGGAAGGTACAACAACTACAATATCAAACATAAACACATGCGTCACATATCTATTTACTTTTTTTACCTGCAAAATGTTTGTTCACTGCATCCATATGTATTCTATTACCATGTGTTTCTTGATGAAATGACCAATTGTAAAATAGAATGAAAACCAGATGAAATGGAGATGAACTGAAAAAAAGTGTGAGACACACAAAGGAAAGAAATGAATGAAAAGAGAAAGAGGAAGATAGACAAATCGCAACTAATACCAGCAGAACATCGACAAATGCTCACATGTTGAAAGTTTTGTGAAAGCGACGATTTACAATAAATAGGTAAAAAATGTCAAAACAAAAACAATTTTGCATCATTTCAAATATTGAATTTGGATTTTTTATCGTTAACATTCTTAGCTTCATTCTTTATTCTTAATTTGTTTATTGGTAAAGATAAAAAACATTTAACAGCCTTTTCGGCCACTTTAATTCACAAAAATACATATAAAAATTATCCGTTTTTAGTAAATAAAATACTAGAATGCGAAATTAAACCGGTGCACGCACCAGAAGTGTGAAAAATCCACGCACTAGATGCACTAAATTTCAATCAATTCTCATCAAAAATCGGATTTATTCACCGCGATGGGAATGGGTTTGTTGAAGTTGTACCAATCAAGTCAATCAAACCGAACTGTCATTGTTTAAAGGTAAGCATTTTAAGAGATTCTCTTTGAGTTTCGCTTCTTTAAATTCAATCAATATTCTGTCTTCAAATATTTCCTCCACTTGCATTATATCTGATTGATTAATTTGGATATCCAAACTGCTAAAAAACTGTTCAAAAATCATCCTCACGTTTTCGCCACGAATGTACGGCACGTCCAATTTGAAAATATATATTCTCTCGATTTCTTGGTGATATTCCATTTTTAGCACTTCCATCCAATCGTCAACGAGAACAAGAAATTTTGGGAAGAGATCGTGTTCTGTTCCAATCAAATTTTGCATCGATAGCACAAAACCGTTTGAAAACACCACCAATGTTTCGAGAAACTCTTTTTTGAGCGTTTCCTCTTTGATTTACGATGCGTAAAGATCAAATTCGTTGTGTTTGTGAACATCTCTCATTCAATATACGAGATATGCCTTCCACAGTAAAATGTCTCGAATGGTGATGTCTTCTGGTTGCAACCAGGAGTACCAGCTGCAGAATTAAAAAAAAATGCAGAAAGGGAGGTTTAGCGTGGTTATGTCCGTATGGAAAATTTGGTCTCTCACTCACACTAGCTCGTTCGTGAACGTGCTGCTAGTAGAATGAAAGAGCGGTTGTTTTGCAAATTCATTCAAGTTATATTCGGCTTTATCGCCTGTATAGCTACTCAAATAAACTCAGATTGTTTACAGATTCTTCTGATATGAATCGAATCGATACATAGCTTGAGTCATATTCAGTTGTTGATGTGTTTGGTTCATTGATTTATTATTATGATTATTTCAAAGTGTTGTGACATTTTTCGAGAAAAACCCTCCTCCTTCATTCTAGAACTAGACGTCAAACTGAATTGAACTTGAGATAATACAGTTTTTTCAGTTGGTTCATTAATTGGCTGAGACTCCTTTCTACTGATCTGCTCATTTAGCACAGCTGACTTTTCTTGTAATTTTGCAAACTTGGTTTTTGCTCCAGTTTTATCTTGAGCTGTATGCTTTGCTTTTTTTTCTTGATTGAAAAGCACTTATGGTTCGACTTCAACTGGTTCAACTTCAATGCAAAAACAGTGACTTTCAAGGCGGCTGTGTATGATATACATTGTATAACAAATATAGATGATTCCTAGGGGGAAAGAACTATTGGTATATTTACTTCATTGACACGTATTGACAAATATTCACAGGCATTTGCATTGCGTTCCGTAGTGTTATTGTTTTCTTCTGTTGCTTCGTCTCGTTCGTGGCGAGGAGGAATGACAGTTGCAAATACGCACATTTTATTGACCATATTTGCATTGCTAGTTATTCAGCGCATTGACACACATTGACGCGTATTGATCCAAACTCGGTAGAATATGCGATTATTTACAATATTTATATTTTCATTTATTCAGTTCTTTCCCCTAGGATGATTCGGATTATGATTTATAATTGAATGTCCCAATTATCTCTTATTAAAAATGAAATATTCCTATTTTGACTGCGATTAATAAATGTCAATCCACTTTGTCTCTATCGCCTAATGCAAATAACACCAAAAATTCAATGAGTTGAATTTCAAACATGAATTTCCGCCCCAATGTTGATATTACATCACAGTTTCTTGGCATTGTTCTGTCGTCTATTCACTGAAAATATCAATAAACAGCAGACGCAGTTGCTTAGTTAGCAGTAGATTTCTCCGAAACCGAAATAATCAACAGAATTACTCATACATGTGAAAACATGTTTCTACTTGTGTCACCCGGCAATCATACGGGCTTGCTATATTAATCATTCTTGCTATATTACGCACCTCGTACTCCGTTCGCTAGCGTCGTCAGTACTGTATCACTCACAGTTGCGGTAACATCGTTCTTAACTCGCCTCTGTCGTCGTTTGACAAGTGTGGAAAAATTGGTATGTAAAGACAAGATTTCGGAATAAAATATTCGTTTTACAGTGTGAAAAAAGCGAAATGAACGAGAAAACAAGGGATTTGTTCATTTTTGAGTGTCATTAATTTGTTCAATTAAAATATGGTTGCGTTTTTAAATCGAATGAATGTGAATAAAAGAGGAGAAAAAGTGATCAGAAAGAAAAAAACAAAAATGTTCTACGAACTTCTGAGGAAATTTGGAAATAGAAAATACAAATTGAAACTAATGAACTAATTCAAGTCCTTTGATGAAGTTTAAAATCCATTTTCCATATATATGAATTTTCCTCATTTCTCATTGGTGATTCATTCGTATTCTCAGTTGTATTATCGCTATTTTTGAATAATTTGACATTATTATGATGCGCAGAATTCCCCTGGTCTATATTTGGCGTTAACGAAACCGCGTCCGTGGTCCAAAACGCTGTAAACGTACGTTCAACTGGACGCGTAACGGAAACAGCAACGTGTTTCCTATTTCATTCGATGCGGAATCAAACAGAACGAAAACATAATGCAATATATTGGAAGCTTCATTGCAAATCAATCGTTTTCATTGTCCAAAGCCTCACAACGTATATTAACATAAAAAAAAAGAAAAAAGTAAAAACAAGACACAAAATAGAGTTTTCTCTACCAAAGTCTACACTGAGATAGCTAATTTACACAGTAATCTTTTTAGATCAAGCTAAAGAGAGTTCATTTTCATCATAACAGTGATATTTTTCGATTTGTTTTTCGTTCGTTGATTGAATAATTAATTTTATTTGTTCCAATTCTAGCGTCACCTTTTGAATTACCTACTTGAAGTGACGATTTAAAGGATTCATTTGAAGTGACGATTTCAAGAAGCAGTTTGAAGTGATAGCGTGAAGTGATTTACGGAGTTGTTGCTAGAGATAAACAGTTCACCGATATATTTGGCCGATTCACCTAAAAAAATTCGCCTTGAAAACAATAGCCAAGAATAGCAAAGCAAGTGAAATAAATTCACACAGCAGAAATGGCGAATGGTTTTTGCAAAAATTGGACCATCGGCTGGAGAGGAGTTGGCCTAATCATTGGATGGTTGATTTTCATGCCAATTTTTCCCTTGTTTTTTGACGCCTTCATGAACATTTTCGATGAGTCTCGTTTGAATTTCATCGGAGCAATTATCAGTGAGTATGCGGTTTTTACTTACTTATTTTGTTAATTGATACGGAGTTTTGTTTTTACAGTAATAAGTCAAATTGCAAATATCACATGGATTTACGGTCTTTCTGAAGTAAGTATAGATCTGAAACTCAGGTTCACTATTGTTTTTTTTTTTTCTAAACAATTGAAAAATGTATCAAATACTCAACAACAAAAATATGTCCAGAAACTAATCAATTTCTCATTTCCAAATCCACAGTACAAGCCTCGGTGTTGTCTTTTTTCATTAATTTGGTTCGCTTTCTTGTTTGGATTAAACGGATCTTTGAACCGCACACTTCGTTCAAATGACCAGATTTACATGAGTCTCGTGTGTCTATTACTTTACATTCTTGCTGTGTGTAGCTATGACTCCATATCGAATCATGCGTCTAGGATTCGTGCAAATCAATCTCGAACAAATCAGTATGCTTCAAATGTGACTCGAGTGTACCAATCTCGCAACCACAGTGTTACGCCCACGGCACCAAATCAACCATTGAATTTGACATGTGAAGTGTCCATGATGAATACCGACGACAATAAATCACTTATTATGACGGTCGATTAAAGGATTTGACCGCTCACTTGTGATAGAACCCCAAAATGATAAGATACTTGTTGGATCAAAAAATAACTTACTCATAATTACCTCAAAATACGTTAAGATAGAAATGAAAACATGAAGATTCTCATTTACGATAAAAAAAAGTCAGTTATAATCTTGGTATAAGAACGAAATGAAAAAGAATATTCTTGTTTAAAAGGAACCAAAATAAAAACAATGTTTTTTTCTTTGTGAAACGTATTGATTCTAGAGAAAGTGTAGCAAAGAGTTGGAATTTTGAGAGTTTAATTCGATTATAGAGCTATAAGAAATGGTTTCGAATTTGATTATTTTAGCCTAAGAAAATTATTTTGTTTACCAAATGATGCAAATTGAATACGCCAAAAGTTTCACTCAAAACTTAAAAAGAACAAAAATTCACTTTGAGTTCAATTCATTTTCGTTGGGATTTTAGCATTTTTTTTTCGAGATGAACGATGAATTCATTTCAGGTAAGAGTATAACAATAAATTCTTTTGGTATTTCCGTCGTTATCCTTCAATTATATGTATTTTTGCACTGAGTGTGATGATAACGAAACGTTTGTTGCGTTAAATTAACGAATAGCCTACTGACCGAGCAAAATGAGTGACATTTAACAACAACCACCGGCTGTAATCAGTGTCGCCGTAGCAAAGCATCTACGACACCGTATTCAATTTGACTTCGCGGCACAAAGCTGTGCCGTAAGTTAATCAGTAATGCGTTTGCTGTGACGGTAAAAACAACGTTTCGTCTATTTTTGTTACGAATGATTTGCTGTGGTTTGCTCGGTACACACTCAATATTATAGCGACATCTATTATTAAAATAGCTTGTAGTAAACGCATTCATAGCATTTCACTGTAGTTGCGATGTTACCTATTAAATTCCCCTGTGGTATGTAGTTAACAAGTGTCAAACATGAATGTGTCAGTACTACAAGGGAACTTAATAGGAAACATCGCAACTACAGGGAAATGCTATAAATGCATTTACTACAAGCTATTTTAATAATAGATGTCGCTATAATATTGAGTGTGTATGTAGAAAAATCGAAGTAGTTTCATGTTTTTGTGATCATTTTTGACGTTTTTCTACTAATAGTTGCCGGTTTTTGTTGGTCCAAGCACGGAAAATTAGCTGGTCAATGTGTTTATTTAAACAATGTTCTATAAATATAGACATAAAGCAATGAATCCTTTAATAAATGGACAGCAGTGTTGGGAAAGAATATTTAGGGGGAAAAGTTGACAATAAATCAATCTAATCAAAAAGATGCAATAAATGTCAATGAATTCTACATATCACTGCTTTGTGCGTTGCTCACCGCTTGCCGCTCGGTCGTTGTTCATATTTGATACATGTACATTGTACAATACATACTCAGTTGTCACAGTGTACGTGTGGATCACAGTGTTGACACGGTGCGATCTTTTTGCATTGACGCACAGACAGACATGGCTCGCGACTCAATCGCGTTTTTGTTTTGGCATTTCTGGCTTTCGTATTCATTACGTGAAAAAATGTAAACAAACCGTTAATATACGTTTGTTCAAGATTCCATGGAATCGTGTTTATTCAGCGTATTTCAAAGAATTTGATGATAAAAATTTATCTAGAGAGTTTGAAGTCTGGAAATTATGCGTTATGATTCATAAGATTAGGTTGAAAATGAAGACGTCAAAACATACACGACTTCTTCCATCATAAGAAATTAAAAAGATTAAAACATTTTGATAAGTTTTATCACATAAAAAGCATGGAGGAAGAGGTACTTGATCACATTTCATGGAGAGGAGTTGGCGAAGTAATGGGATATGTAGCATTCGTGGAGACTGTTGTCCTGATTGGCTTATCTATCGCGCTTATAACTGATCCTTGGACTTATCTCCTGTTTCTGGGTGAGGTTTTTAAAAACAAGAATATGCAGGCCTGCCACAGATTTTTTTTTCTAAAAAAGCTGAAAAAGCTGATATTACCAGTTTGAAAAAGCAAGCAAAAGCTGATGAGATTAATATGGCAAAATCAAAGAAGCAGTTAAAAAAAATAGTTTTTTATAGTGTTTCTAGTCGAATCATAACTGAAATCTTATTTTCAATCTTACTTGCTACGCAATTGACTTATAAATAATATTGCTAACTGAATTAAATTTGACTTCCATGTTTTCAATATGTTTATC